TGCTGAAGGTTAAAGATGGGAGGACAGGACACTGGAGTGGCTGCCAACTGCTGCTGCAGGTACAGAAAGTGTCGAAGCATCCTGCAATAAACAAATTCTGGAGAGTCTCTAGATTTCTCTAGAGTTTAGTGCGGTTGCGCAATGAAAACTGTACATGAGAATCCCTTCACTTTGGACCATAGGATCAATTCCATCAACGGTTGAAATTGCTTCTTAGGCATAGGATTCAAAATTTTAAAGCTCGTAAATTATGTAGTAGTATAGATACGAATGTGATTGTACCTTTCTAACTGCAAGTTGGGAATAGTTGGAGTCAGTTTATCAGGTCTCTCTCTGGTCGCACATGCAAACCATATTTATCTATATATAAGCCATAGATTCCATGTTTACATGTGGGAGGGCTCTCTATTGCAGCTACCGAGCACTGACCCCACCACACCCCATCAGCTGTGCAAGGACTGGTAGTTATTAACGATACAAAGGGAGAACCGATTGATTGATCGATCAAGCACAATCCTCTGCCACAGTTATGACAAAGGGAAGAGACAAATGATGTCCAAGTCTGAGAATAAGGTAGCTATAAATAGTTCTGTAAATTTAGTTAAAGCGATGCCATTTGATAGACCATCTTCATAGCTGTGTCAAACAGTTCACAGCAAATTGATCTTCATGATTATACCTTGACATGCCACATCAAGACCATCATGATTGTATCCACAAATAAGAACCGAAGTGTCTCCGTAATTGTATTTGTACAGATTATAGTCGATGGATCATTATAATTTTATCTAAGCAGATCTACCATGGTCATAATTCAAACTTAATTCCCACATACTGATCTAGTATGACGAACAACTGTGTACCAGTCTAACATTTGACTGACCTGGCAGTCCGAACCATAACCTTTCATACTGATCTATTCTATAAAACACAATGGTTGGTGCATGGTTGATTGGAGTGTGCTAATAGTACAATTCAGAGACAAAGATTAAATATGTATGAATGCGGCTGTACATTTCTAAATTCTAATGCAAATTGGGAATGTTCAATCATCTATTAGGCGAAGAAGGTGGGAAGTTGCCGAGTCTTGTCCGGTCACACAAACTGAAAAGTAGACAAGATATAAAATTGACCGTCTGAGTGCTAGTCTTGTGTAGTCAGTGGCGGAGCCAGGATTCAGGTATAGGGGGGGCCAAGCCAAGTAGATAGAAAAAAATCCAGTGCAAAAGATAATTATAAAGAACAAGGTTGAGAACTTGCACAAGAATCTTATTAACAATTTCACTATGTCAAGAATTCGAAGAAACCGGCTGAGAAAAAAAATTAATTTTAATGGTGTTTGGAGTTGTTTTTTTCTCTTCTTAGTTGACGAATTTCAGTTTTACAACTAACCAACTTAGAAAAAAAAATTAATCTTAATGGTGTTTGGCAGTTCCTTTTCTATTCATAGTTTAGGAATTTCAATTTCAGAAATTAGCTATACTATATACAGTGAACATAGGAAAATTCTGCGTCTCAAATAGGACATCGTACAAGATAATTTGCATCACGATAATTTCTAGGACACATACGAGATATGAATTTTTGATAGCATCTCAAATAAAAGAACAAAGCAAATAAAATCTAATGTATAATTTCAACACTAATACGAGATGGGAATTGCGATGAGAGAGATAAGTATAGTGTTAACCTACTAGTTCATTATCTGAAGCAATGAAATAGGCTTTTCTATTCACAGTACAGATCAGATCGTGAGCGACGGAGCAAAGAGATCAGAGGCAGATGGGCACACGTCGGCGCCAGGGCCGCAGGGGCACACGACGGGCGGCAGCGGCGCCTAATCTGACCCACGTAGGCCTAATCACGCACGAGAGAAAGCAGTTTCACTGATCCAGAAGATTAGATCGAGGCTTCTTTGCTAATCTGGATGCTAGTAGGCTTTTGTTATGGGCCTTTTTATGCTTTTTAAGGGCACACGCTGAGATTAGGGGGGGCCAACAA